CCCATGGAGGGGTGAAACAATCAGGGATGAGACGGAGCTGGCCACCAACTCCAGGCTGGTTCCCAAATTGCTGCATCCTCCTGCAGAAAGCCCCTGCCCAGGGGTGCCCACCTTTGCGAGCAGAGCTTCTTACTAACGTGCATCTGAGGCCCAAGTCCCCAGCATTTGCTTTGGTCTTCCCCCAAAGCAAGGCCCTGCGAGGCCACACGTAACTGCGGCAGTCATCCCAGACGGGCTGCCGAAGAAGTGAGCGGCTGTACGGCAACACGGGGCTCCTTCAGACACGGAAGAGGGGAAAAAAAGAAAGAGGCACGTACGTGCTTTGGAGCATGCAGCTGCCAATGCTGCCCATGACCCCGGCTCACTGATAGCATGGAAGAGCCCCGAGGCTACCGCGGTTTCTGGGGGACAAGTTAGGCACTGCAAGAACATCTCCAAGAGCAGGAAGGGCACTTCATGCTTCATGTAGCACTTTTTTTTTTTTTGGAGCACCACAAAACTCTAAGCAAAGAGTCAAGGGCAATAGTTGAGATCCTGGCTGATTCACAGACACAGAGACAGCAGATTCCTCCCGGACATGGCACAGTAAAGCAGCTACACAGCTGGAAATAAAGCTCAAGTCCCACCAACTCAACCAAACTCCTTCATTACTGCCACAGGCACCAAACACTGCATCCTGCTCTGAATCCCTTGCTGAAAACTCCCCTCTCCCACACGCCTTTCCACCAGCCCTGAAGAAAACAGAGAGAGATTGTGGCAATATTGGTGGGTGAGACATCTAAAGCTGAGCAGTGTGAACACCCCCAATGGAATAGCTACACTCCAGCTAATTCTTCTAACCCACTGTTAAGGTCCCTCCCAGCTCCTTAGGTTTATATACGTTTGCTCCACAAATGGCCAAAATCCCATATTAAAGGGTCTTCCACTCCTTTGCACGCATCTGAGGTTGCCGTGTCAACAAGCGCTGGCAACACAGGCTGAGCTAGTGGAGCGCTATCAGATAACGAAGGCAACATGTCGATGCATGCACAGGCTGCAGCTAAGAAGGACCTTCAGCATTTTAGAGCTGTGTTTTGGGGGGCAGAAAAGGATGTTCTGTATTCTGTCCTCTTGCCCCAGCCCTGGTTTAACGAGCCCCCTTCAAGGCACGCTCTTAGAGGAGAAGTCACTTCTAGAACAGACATCTGTCCTCCTCCACTCAAATATTATAAACTAAGGCTTTCATGATTTCAGCCTCTTTTGGGTCCTAGCTACGTCACACCCATAAACAAGATCAGAGGCTAAGAGCCTCGGTGCAGATGGGACACGTCCTTATTGCTGCAGCCCGGTTAAAGCCCCGATTAGTCCAGTGTTTTGACAATTAGGTTCCTAGCTTGAGTTGGGGAGCTGATGCACTGTAACTCTAGTGCCAGTGTGGAAAAAGGCAGCTGCTAAATACAGCAATGAAAAAAAGACTCCAAAAGGATGAGAAGCGCACAGAGGTGATACAGTCCCCATCCCCCAGCGATATCAAAAAGTAAAAAAAGAAAAAAATTTATAAAGGAACTATAATTAAAATAGCCTGTGCCAGGGAGCAGGGGAATGGGCTACAGTGGAGCTACCAACCCATTCCACTAGTCACCCCAGATCCAGCAAAGATGCCAGCAATGCACTGCCGCGTGAGCATCAATCACACAATGGTCCTGCCACAGTATGAGAGTCCTGCTGCCTTCTGGAGGATCAGTACACCTGGACTCTCGAAAATTCAGCAGAAACAGGAGCCGCTGTGGCTGCTGGATACCCTGATGCTTGCTGAATCCCAGCCAGGGGGCCCACGCCTGCAGGTGCCTGTGGATCAGTCGGGCACACGCGCTGCGGGGGTGAGAATTTGCCCAGCTGGCAGCACTGTCCAGGCGAAGCTCCATCGTGGGCCTGCACGTAAGACTCTCTGAAGGCACCTCTGGCTTGGTGGGAGGAAGAAGGGAGGCTGTGTCCTGCGGCATGGCCATGCTGAGATCCCGCGAGTCCCAGAGCATGGCCGCATCCCGGCGCACAGCTGTGTTGAAACCCCTGGCTCTGAGTGTCAGGTTGCTGCATCTGGAAAGCGGGAAGAGCCGGAGGCGAAGAGCAGTAGTAGATTTGGGTGGGGTAGGCGCCTGGTGCAGGCTTAACCCTGGGCAGGAAGAAAACAGAAGGTTGCACTGTGTTCAGAACTGGCACTGCCTAATTAGCACTGCAAGTGCCCCGGGGGTAGATTTCCTCCTGACCAATGCTCAGAAAGGTCACTGCAATCCATCAAAGAGATTCACTACAAGAGAAGCTCTTGTTATACGCAGCAGTTGAATAAAGATAGGTTTACTGGCCTCCCAGGACAGATGTGCCCACTCCCAACCCACACCAATTCCACACCCCCCGAACGAGTGCGGTTCTTGGCCCCGAGTCTCTCTGTGCAGGGAATACGCAAGCCAAACTGCAATGTGCTTCAAGACCTCCGTACGCATCCTCCCTGCCTTCCGCTGAATGACACATCTGCTAAGTTATTAATCAGGAGAAGTCACAGCTGCCAAGTGTTATTTATCAAGAAGCCATAAAGGCCTTTGGTGCGAGTGAGAGCCCAGGGTATAGAGCAAAAAGGGAAGGAGGAGAGAGTTACAAATGAAATTAATCATTCAGAAGCAAGGTCTAGAAGCAGCCCTTGCCAACAGAAGGCATGACTCATCCTGCCGAAACGTATCAAGAGAGAGGCAATCTGCTTAGAAGCCAAAGCCTCTGGGACTTCAGGAGTACTGCTCGGCCCACGCACAACACTAAGATGAGTGCTGAGAATCAAGACAATATTCACGAAGACTGTGACCGCCAGATTCCCAGCAAGAATAAGAGACTGGCTCACGCTGGGGTTTTTGGGCTTGGATTTTTTTTTTTTTTTTAATGTGGGGTGTGGGTTTGATTTTGGTTTTTGTTTGATTTTTGTTTTATTTGTGGACACAAACATGACATCAAAGCCTGGACCTCCTAGAAATGTCTCCTGTCTGGTGGCAAGTTGATGCCTGAAGTCTTATGAAAATTTAAAAAAAAAAAAAATCAAAACCCAAACCATCAAGAGCTTTTACTTGGGAATAAGAATCAAAATAATAAAAATTAAGCCCCAGAAGCATATATAGAACTTGTGTCTAAGACACAGAGACATGCAAATTTAGCTGCAGAAATGGAAACATCCTAGAAACACCTTCCCACGCCCTGCTTGATAGTCAAATGTTTATGTAAATACCTTTGAGCCAGAACAGTCTATTTATGTCATCTCACCTAAAGAAAGCAGGTTTAGACACTGAGCCGAGACGCTGTGCACAACAGTTATTAGCAGATGCATTAGACTGATGCAGACACAGGCTCAGCACGCAGCAAGACAGTCCCTCCTCCCAAAAGCAACACTTGCACAGAAGGAAGAGAGTAAAAACGCAAATGCTGCTGGATCTGCCTGGCCTCCCCTGCAAGCACTGGCACGTTT